CATTAAGACGTTAAGGTAAATAAGTGCATCATTGTGAATGACACTCGCATCTGTTAATGATCACATAGCAGTCGAACATTTGTTAGTATAGATAATCAGCCTTTATTTTATCTCATAATTGGTTTAATATGACAAGTGTACATCATGACACGCAAACCAGTGCATGGATCAGTATAGTTTTGTAATTCAAAGAGAGAGGAACTGCTACTGTTAGAATGTGTCAATGTATTGATTCATCTTCACATCGCTTTATTTTGTTAGCCAATGCTTTTAAATTTACACTATATTTTAGAGTTCCTTTCCTGGTAACTGCATTTCTAAACTGAACGTGTTGATATAGCGTTGTGAAGACAAGCCTTTGCTTACCTTTCGCTTCAGCAGTCTTTTCCATGCTTCTCTACCTTTCCCGGGAATTAAGTTTAGTTTAGTTTATGCCAAATCCATTGACGTAATAGCCAGAGTAAACGTTGGACAGGAAGGACGTTTACTACAGTTAATAAATAATAGCATGATATAGACTGTGTGGAGAACACATGTTAGAGAGTTAAGTTTACGCTCTTGAAGAGGTAACATCAACGACGAAGTCAGATCAAGATAGAAATATTAAGTGTGATATATAATCTATATATAATCAATCAAAGTTTATATAACTATAATAAATAAAGTTTTGGAGCAACTATTGTGTATGCATTGGTAATCCTAACTGGCAAAAAGTAACCTGTATGGCACGAGGTAACATATACAACACTATATCAGGCTACATGACACTAAACGACACTATGCAACATACAACAGTATACAAGACTATACAACACTATATAAGGCTATACGACATTATACGATATTATACAACGTTATGCAAGACTATATATACTTAACAATTAGTGCCATGAGCTTGACTGCTCGAGTCGTATATGAGCTGATAGCCGACGAGGTGCGTAGCACCGAGTCGGCTATCAGCCATATACGACGAGAGCGAATGATATAATTGTTTTATAATATAGTCTAATAGGCATTAACTGAAGCAATAATAAATTATCCTCTGTACAATGTCTTGACAATTTGTTCGGCCAACTTTTGCTTTACAACTCGAAGACGAAGTGAAAGAAATGGTTTTAGAACCGGTAAATCTCACAGAAAAGCTCAGATATATTATACAGATGTTTGGTAGTCCCCGAGCCGGCGGCGCGAAGCGCCGTGCGAGGGTACTAATTCCCCGCGGCTATTTACACCCGGGGAAACGAAAGCATTAGCCAAGTCTAAAGTTCATCAAATATCGCGGGCGTGGGTCACTGTGCGTGGGTGGTCATCCTCACTGATCTCAAAAATATGGCGGACTGTCATGGATAGCGAACACTGATTGGTCAAATTTAAAATTTGTTGTTGTATGACAAATGACGACTTCAACTGACAGATACTTCATGAAAATAATTTGCTTTTTGCACTACAGTATTTTGTACGTTTGCAAAAATCTTTGACAGCTTTCAAAGCAATTTGTTTTATAAAAAGTTTAATAAAACAATTACGGTCTCAAATACCAATTGAAAAAATATGGACTACTGTATGTAGCCAAATGAAGAGCAGCAAGGAAACGACAATAAAGCCGAACGTCTAGCGAAAAGGAGGGAGCTAGCGAAGACGACAACGTTTGCTCGAGGAGACTGCTGAGGAAAGAGAAGCTCGCCTGGGAAAGCGTAGAGAAGCATGGAAAAAAAGACTGCTGAAGCGAAAGGTAAGCAAAGGCTTGTCTTCACAACGCTGTGTACCAATGATACTGTAGCTATACAAGTTGAAGTATGATATTCGACTCTCAATATTCGACTATTTCTTCACAATTTTCCAATAAAGAGTTTGTCTTGACACGCTCAAGTCAGTATAACCAGACTGTATTTTATTTATATCAGTTATCACAGCCACAGGCAATTTTATGCTGTCAAATACCGTCTGTTGCAACTGAGGGTGAACAGTTGCAGATAAAACATTCTCTATTCTCATTAAAAAGCCTGTAAAAGTTTCCAGTAGGTCTCTAGCCCAACACGTTCAGACCACACAAAGTTTTGTTACTTATTATTGTACACATGGGAAACAACAATTAAGTGTTGTTGTTCTTGACAAACATTGAAGATTCTAATCACGCGAATGTTTTTATGAGCAACTGTTCATCGTTAGTTGCAAGCGACGGTACAACATACTATGAACATTTTCCCGACTGTGACCGAATGTGCAACGATATATTTTTTAAAGTTGTTATCAATTCCTAAAATTTGTTTATAGTAAAACGGCCTGCTCAGCACTCACCACTCACGATGATTTCATTTAGACATGCAATTACCAGGAAAGGAACTGATTCTAAAATATGTAAATTTGAAAGCATTGGCTAACAGAATAAAGCGATGTGAAGACAAGGTACAAACTTTTATAGTTGCTATTTGTTATAAAATCCTATAAATAAACCGATTCAACAATAATTTGGCCTCGAATTTGCATATTCTATGCTGCATGTTTATATTTTATTTTTATAGTATAAAAATAAAATTGTAATACTTTGAAATAAAATACATTTTTGTTTATTGACCAGTACTTATTTAATGTCTTCTTCATCCAGTGGTCAGAGTAAATTTCTACTTCTAGCAAGTAAATATTTGACAAGCAGTCTGGAATAAGCACAGGACTTTTAATGCATCAGCCAACTCCAAGTGTGCCCATCCCCCTCGCCCAGCCATTTTCCTGTAAAGCACATCCCGGGGGTTGGGCATTTCCACTCGAACCTTAGCCCCGGCGGGGCATTTGAAATTAATAATTTGGATTCTTGCACTTCACTTGTGAAATTAATATTAGAATGTTAGGGTTTGTAATCCAAGTGAGAATATATACATGTATATATTTTGTAATCCAAGTGAGAATATTTTGTAATCCAAGTGAGAATATACAAATGTATAGTACATGTATATATTTTGTGTATATATTTTGTAATCCAAGTGAGAATATACAAATGTATATAT